AGGACACATCAATTGTTCTTTTTATGCACATTCATTTTGGAAATCTCAGCACGACCTTGCACCCGAAGTACACGAAGTGAATAAAACAAACGAGTGAAGAGGACAAGATGTAGATGAAGGAAAAATAACTGTTAATTTACCATAACAATCATTGACAGACAGCACTGTTGTACTCCGGTACTGTCAAAGACGTGACTACAATGCTCGATTGTTTTCATTCTTAAATGCCACGGAAGGAAATGTCCTGAATTTAATGCACAATTCAATGCCAGTACAAGGGTTACTATCTATATACCCTTTTTCAGTGTACAAGTATATATAGCTATGATAAAGTTTTTGATTGTCAACTGATTTTTTTTTGAATTTTTTATGATAAAACTCAATTCAGCAAAGTTTTACGACACAAAAAAGTCAACAATTGTTTTCTTAGAAAACCTCAATTCAGCAAAGTTTTTCGTAGGAAAAATTCATTTTAATAAGGGTTTTGATCAAACAAGTTAATTCAGCTGAATTAAGTACAGAAAAACATAATTCATCAGGGTTATTTTAAGTTTTTCTGTGAAAAATCTCAATTCAGCTAAGACTTTTTATGATAAAACATAATTAAGAAATATTTTGATAACTTTTTGTATAAAAAAAACTCAACACAACAAGCTTTTTAGAACAAACATCTGTTGTGTGTTTAATTCAGCACAAGGACTTTGTTGGGCAAGGAAACATTTAACTCGGCAGATTTTTGCATTATAAAAACTCAATACAACAAGCTTTTTGTGCAAACTCAATTCAACATGCATTTTCGATCAAAAAAATGTTTTTTGTAGGAAAAACAAATTTTAATAAGATTTTTGTTCAAACAAATTAACTCAGCAAGATAATTGAAGCGTAGAACTTAATCCAGCATTATTATTTTATGGAAAAACTCAATTATTTTAAAATTTTCTGAGAAAAATCTCAATTCAGCTACGGTTTTTATGATAGAAGAAATGTTAAGAAATGTTTTGACAACAAAATTTCAAATTAGCAAAGTTTTCCTTAAGGAAAACTCAATTCAGCAAGCTTTTCTGATCAAAAGCGCCAATTAATAAAATTTTTTGAACGAAAAAGCTTAGTCCACCACTATTTTTGGGTAGAATAACTCAATTTAGCAAAACTTAATTCAACATGCAATTTCGATCAAAAACTTAATTATGCAAGGCTATTATACCGCAAATCTTAATACAATGCTATTTTTGTGTAGAATAACTCAATCAAGCAGCCTTTTTGTATACAAAAGCTCAATTCAGCAAGCTCTATGTGTAGAAAAACTTAATTAAGAAAGCTTGTTAGACCAAACAGCAAACAGTTATCATATCGAAAAACTTAATTCAACACTATTTTGAAAAAGAAAATCTTATCTCAGCAGCTTTAATTAGTTAAGCAGCATTTCTTTATAAAAAAAACTCAATTCAGCAGCATTTTATATAAAAAAAACTCAATTCAGCATGCAATTTCTATCAAAAAACATAATTAAGCAATGTTATTATACCGAACAACTCAATCCAGCAGTACTTCAGTGCAGAATAACTCAATTCAGCAAACATTTTGTGTAGAAAACATAATTCAGAAAGATGTATGTAGAAAAACTTAATTCCCCAAGCCTTTTAGACCAAACAATTTAATTCAGAAAGGTTATCATATCGAAAAACTTAATTCAACACTATTTGAAAAAGAAAAACTTATTTCAGCAGCCTTACTTAATTTAGCAGCATTTTGGTATAGAAAAATTCAATTCAGCAGCGTTTTTGCATTGAAAAAATCAATTCAGTTAGCTTTATGTGTAGAAATGCACAATTTAGCATGAATTTTCGATCAAAAAATTTAATTCAGCAAGGTTATTCTACCGAAAAACTCAATTCAGCAGCCTTTTTCATAGAAAAACTCAGTTCTGCAACTATTTTCGATCAAAAAAGAATGAATTCAGCAACATTTAACACCGAAAAAAAAGCAATTCATGTTTTCGCTTAGAAAAACTCAACTCAACAGCCTTTTGTTGTAGAAATAACTCAATTCAGCAAGCTTTTTGTGTAGAAGAACTTAAATCAGCTTGTAAAATCGTTCAAAATTTTATTTTATTAATTATTTTTTATACCGAAAAACTTAGTCCAGGACTGTGTTTGTTAGAATAATTTCAATAGAGTCCGTCCTTGCACCAAACAAGTTAGCCATTTCGCTCTCTCGGTGGTAATATGCTACTCACACTTTCCAAACGAAGTGACTACAATTTGCCATTCGGGGTTTTTGGTGGTTGCAAAATTTAATTTAAAGAAAATTTCCAGTATGGGTTTACAGTTGATCCTAGATCCATATAATAGTTCCTCCCCATTTCATGTATGTTAAAGGTCATAGCCGAATTTTCCAACCTCAACGTTTGTAATTTGGTATTTCTTTTTCTCACAGTATAAAAATCCTATCGACAGGCTATTTTTAAAGACATCATTAAGTAATTCAAAATAAAAAAAAAACAAGCATCAAATATTTTCTCAATAAATTACTTGATTAATTCAACTAATAACAACAAAAATAAATATTGTTCTAAGGAAGAAATTATCGTTGATTCCTACTTTCACTTCTCGTCTCTTCGGTATTTCATCGTTACATTTTTCTTCCATTATGTTTTTCTTCTACATACCGGTTCGAATTGCCTTTAACTGGAAATTTCAGAAAAAGTTTCATTTTTCTTCAACGATGTTTGCCAGTAATTTGTCATTAAATACTTAACGTCACTCACAATGCCTTTCCTGAAGTTGTTTTTTCTCCCCCCTTTTGCCTCTTCAAACCTTTGCTTCCTTGTACTTTAAACAAACTAAGAAAACCAATTCAGTCAGAGTTTCAAGGCAACTGCAAGTTATTTCATTATAAAATATTTCAATTAATTTTTATTGCAATTTTTACTTTTTTCTCAAACAAAATAAAATTGGCTATTGAAACAAAAAAGCCAAGTATTAAGCAACACTTAATAAAAATTGTAATTATGAGGTACGCATTCAGAATACTTAGAAAATAGATCAATACCCACCAGAAGCCGGGATGCCAAATTATAGTCTCTTTTATTGGAAACTGTGCATAGGACCATTAAAATGTCTAAAAATATAGGGCGAAAATTTGATGATTTGTTTACACAACATGAGTTCAGTAAATTCTACAAAATTATGGCCCAATCGGGCAAACTTTGGGTCTTTAGAGCACAATTTACATTAAATCGGAAGAATATATGTATATATATATAGGAGCTATATCTCGGAACCGATTTTTACGAAACTTAGCACATCATACTAGACTCAATTCAGTACGCTGTGGCAAATTTCGTGCAAATCGAAAGATATATATGGACTTTCGTGCACCACTTACATTAAATCCGACGAAAATATATATGGGAACTATATCTAAATCTAAACCGATTTTCTCGAAACTTAGAACACGTCATTCTATAATCAGTTCAGTACACGATAGTACAAGATAATTAGGAAATTTTGTGCATGTAACGCCCAAAAGTCATGATTTTCGTTTTTGGGGTACATTATTATCTTCAATATAATTTTTATTTCCTTTTTATATAAATCAACAAGGAAATATTTTTGTTTGAAGAATTAATTTAAATATTAACGGTTACACCGGTCCCCTAGTGAAGATAGCTATCATTAAAATACCACGTTGGAACCCCTGGTGGCAAATGGCGGAACTACGCAAAACTGTCAGATTGGGATCAGCTGCTGTCATGAGAAAACAACAATAGGTGTGTCTGGTTACCCTAAAGTTTGTAACAATTGTTACAAATTGTTACTGGAAGTCGTCTGTTAACCCAAAAGTTCTGCAAAAGAGAGCGGTTGGAGAGAGAAATTTTGACAGTTCTTTCAGTGAGAGTTTGCAAATTCTTGCTGGAAAAATTTCTTCTTGCAATCTCTTGCAACTCTTCTTCTTCTCATACATCGACATTCAATCAGATGTTTTCTATTGTTTGTTTATTTATTTTTGTGCTTTCAATTTGAAAATAATTTTTTTTGGAATTAGCAAGACTAATTGTTTTTGGAGAAAAACTTTACAAAACGAGAAAAACGTAAGTATTAATATGTAATAGGAAAATAAAAGACTATTTCCAGCTTTTATTGCTCATTTTTTTATTTTATTTCCTTTTTATTTCAAAAACTTGTTAAACTGGTTGTGTTTTCTTTCTTTTAATTCTTTATAATGGCGGACAAATTGGTTTGTTTTGACAAATCAGCTGATTAGTTGCAAGCTTCTGCAGGGATGCCGTCTGTTTACTTTTCGCATTTTTCTTGCAAAAGAGAATAAAAGTACCTTACTCTCTCAGAAAGAAGTTACTGGACAATTCCTGCAGGGAAAGTAACCAGACACACCTAATAGATGACCAGCCAAAAAGGTATAAAAGGAGACGCATTTCACACAATCGTGATCAGTCTTCTGTTGATGGCTGGTAAGTCAAGTGTGATTGGAAGGAAGAAAAGGCGCGCAACCTCGGTTGAATTGAGTCTTAGTAAGCCAAACAATAAGCCTTGACTATTTGTGGTGACTAGACCGGACTGAACGCAGGGTCAAGTGAGGGTTGTAGAAATACTCCCTATTCTTCGGGCTGCGTTGACGGCGACTGAACGCAGGGTCAAGTGAGGGTTGTAGAAATACTCCCTATTCTTCGGGCTGCGTTGACGGCGACTGAACGCAGGGTCAAGTGAGGGTTGTAGTAATACTCCCTATTCTTCGGGCTGCGTTGACGGCGACTGAACGCAGGGTCAAGTGAGGGTTGTATAAATACTCCCTATTCTTCGGGCTGCGTTGACGGCGACTGAACGCAGGGTCAAGTGAGGGTTGTATAAATACTCCCTATTCTTCGGGCTGCGTTGACGGCGACTGAACGCAGGGTCAAGTGAGGGTTGTAGCAATACTCCCTATTCTTCGGGCTGCGTTGACGGCGACTGACGTACTCATCGGGCTGCTGCTGTGCCAAGCCACCGCCACCCTATTCGTCGTCGCGTATTCATCGGGCCGCCGCTGTGCCAAGCAGCCGCCACTACTACTCGCCGCTGACGTATTCATCGGGCCGCCGCTGTGCCAAAGCTGCCGCCACTACTAGTCGTCACCTGCGTATTCATCGGGCTGCCGCTGTGCCAAAGCTGCCGCCACCCTATTCGTCGTTCGCGTATTCATCGGGCCGCCACTGTCCAAAGCTGCCGCCACTACTCGCCGCTGACGTATTCATCGGGCCGCCGCTGTGCCAAAGCTGTCGCCACTACTATTCGTCACCTGCGTATTCATCGGGCTGCCGCTGTGCCAAAGCTGCCGCCACTGCAGTTCGTCGCCTGCGTATTCATCGGGCTGCCGCTGTGCCAAAGCTGCCGCCACCCTATTCGTCGTTCGCGTATTCATCGGGCCGCCGCTGTGCCAAAGCTGCCGCCACCCTATTCGTCGTTCGCGTATTCATCGGGCCGCCGCTGTGCCAAAGCTGTCGCCACTACTCGCCGCTGACGTATTCATCGGGCCGCCGTTGTGCCAAAGCTGCCGCCACTACTATTCGTCACCTGCGTACTCATCGGGCTGCCGCTGTGCCAAAGCTGCCACCACTGCTACCCGCTTACTCACATTTCGACTGAACTCTGTGATTTAGTGTTCTTCGTGTTTCTGAACGTGATATTATTGTGTTTAGTGTAGTGTTTAGTGTTATTTAAGGAAATAAATTTATAACGTTTTAAGAAAACATTTTGCTTCGCTCTCTCTCTCTCTCTTTATGTCCTAACAAATAAATTCTTGTGACGACTCTGGCCCCCGCTGAACCTACCCCAGCATCATTTAAAAAAAATCGGACGAAACTATATACGGGAGTCATATATATATGTCAAATATATATGGGAGCTATAAATATACCGATTTTCATGAAACTTAGCACACATCATTCTGGATCTAATTCAGTAACCTGTGCCAAATTTCGTGCAAATCGAAATATATATAGGGACTTTGGTGCACCATTTACATCAAATCGGATGAAACTATATATGGGAGCTATATCTAAATCTAATCCGATTTTCTTCAATTTTAACAGTGTTCGTCCTTGGGCCGAATAAGTGACTTGTGCCAAATTCCATCCAAATTGGTTCCTAAATGCGACCTGTACTTTGTTTACTATTTAACATATACAGACGGACGGACATGCATAAATCGACAAATATCGAATTTTTGCGGTGAAAATACTTCTACACACAAGTAACCCATAATTCCGAGTTAAAGCCACTATATCGAAAATTTGAAGACCAAAACATAGACCTATATTTAAATATATTCTTTACCCACTACTAAGGGCCAAGATCCCATATTATGGTCATAATTGGAGCAGTGAGTTTCTGAAATAATTAAATATCACATATTACAGGGTTACGGGGAGGCTGAAATGCATATGGCGGTCAATTTCTTTAAGATGAGATAAACAAATTATTGTTATTAATAGGTACCAAATCTCTCCACAATAAAATTATGAATATAGGTCATTTTTTTCGGATAGTACCCCCAATTTTTTGTGTTTTGAGGTTCTTGAGCGCGTTTTCCCCATATAATCCCCTTTTTATATTAAAATAGTTATCTGATTTGTTACGCGTTTTGAGTTTGGTTCTTAGACTCTGTTGTAATCATTTCACCTGCGGAGGATAGCGAGATAAAAAAATAGAACGTTACTTTCGATAATGAACTATAGCCGCATTTGCACCTAGCCCCTGTGTGGAGGTTCCAAAAGGAGTGCACCGATTGAACTAAGTTTGGAAGAAATAATAAGATGGGCAAAGTTCGGATGAAATCTAAATTTTCTGAAACGGGTTTGGACCAAAGAAACATGGCTAGAACCAATATTTCGATGAGGCATTAGCCATAAGGCTGAGGGTATAATTATCCATTAATTTTTTTTTTAAATTTGTATTATGGTTTACATAATACGTTTTTAGAAATGTCGGTATAGGTCCACTTTTTGGTATGCTCCCTATATTTTCATTTCTAGTATCTGTTAGTATATCTATAGTGGAAGGTATCCAAAGTTCGACCCGGCCGAACATAACGCTTTTTCACTTGTTTTCTTTTAAATCAATTTCAGCTATCAAACTCAATGAAAAATTACAGTGATGTCAGATTTTTGTAATCACTACTCAAATGGATGCCATTATTACATGTTACCGTTACCAATCATCGTTAACCGATCATTGTGCCGACTCCCGGCAACAACTGTTTTCGATCATCGTAGCGGCCCCCGATTATCACAAGGTATATTAAGTCACCCGAATTCAATTATTCTATCGCATTTTTATAAATATACCAGTATATAAGTCTTAGACCCTCTATCATAATGTTGAATGTATATTAAATTTGTCATTCCGTTAGAAACACCTCGAAATATTATTTTGGGAATTTTGGACAGGTTTTCCAACCGAATTGGCTGTAATTTGGAATTTTGGGTTATCATTGAATAACACATATCCGTACCAACATTCCCACATTTCTTTAATAAAAACCAGTAAGGAAAGTAGTAAAGTCGGCCTGGGCCGACTATATGATACCCTTCACCACTTTGGGTATATTCTACATATGTATACGAAAAGACGTCGCTGTACTGTTTAAAATTTAATCTCAATCAGACACCCATTGATAATTTGGTGTACAATCAACATAAATAAGTCGAAATTATATATGGAAGCTAAGTTATATCTTTATCTGAACCGATTTCAAGCCAGCCTGCCAAAGAATAATTTATATTAACTTCAGTACGTTGTGTCAATCGGCCTAGCTATCAATCTAGACTTAATTTAGGACGCTGTTCCAAAATTCTTGCCAATCAAAAGATTTGCAGGGATTTTGGTGCACCATTTACCTAAAATCGGGCGAAACTATATATGGCAACTATATCAAAATCTGAACCGATTTTCACGAAACTTATCACACATCATTCTAGACCTAATTCAGTAGGCTATACCAAATTTCGTGCAAATCGAAAGATATATAGAGACTTTGGTACACCATTTACCTAAAATCGGGCGATACTATATATGGGAGCTATATCTAAATCTGAACCGATTTTCACGAAACTTAGCATACATCATTCTAGACCTAATTCAGTAGGCTATACCAAATTTTGTGCAAATCGAAAGATATATAGGGACTTAGGTACACCATTTACATAAAATCGGGCGATACTATATATGGGAGCTATATCTAAATCTGAACCGATTTTCACGAAACTTAGCACAAGTCATTCTAGACTTAATTCAATACGCTATGCCAAAATTCGTGCAAATCAAATCATTTTCAGGGACTTTGGTGCACCATTTACCTAAAATCGGCCGAAACTATATATGGGAGCTATATCTAAATCTGAAACGATTTTCACGAAACTTAGCATACATCATTCTAGACCTAATTCCGTAGGCTATACCAAATTTTGTGCAAATCGAAAGATATATAGGGACTTTGGTACACCATTTACCTTAAATCGGACGAAAATATATATGGGAGCTATATCTAAATCTGAACCGATTTTTCCCAATTTCAATAGGTTTCGTCCTTGGGCCAAATAAGTGAGATGTGCCAAATTTCATCCAAATCGGATCATAAATGCGACCTGTACTTTGTTTACAATTTAACATCAACAGACGGACGAACAGACGGACGGACATGCATAAATCGACTCAGAAAGTGATTCTATGCATATTCTCAAAAGGAACCATGTGTCTATCTCGATTCCTTTTGCCTGTTACAAACATATGCACAAAGACATAATACTCTGTACCGCAGTGTGGTGAAGGGTATAATTACTTCACTACGCAAAATGATCATATTGATCCCCGTTGTGGTATAGCCCCGCTAGTCCCTCTATTGGATAATCACATTTTCTCACGTCATTTTCGGTATATTCAAGTTTCTATCATAACACGGGGATTCTCCTAGGAGCCCCCCATTAATCTATACTAATAAAAGAGTAAAGTGATTGATTGACTGACTGTGTACTAAATTTAGTACAGTTTGAATTGTGGGTGAACCGATAGAAATGTAATCCTGAAACTTGGATTTAAATCACTGTGGGGCGTATGTTTTGGCTATATAGGAAGGTTTGGGATATTGGTACTACTGTGTACTAAATTTGGTACAATTTGAATTGTTAGTAAACCGATGTAATTGGAATCCTGGAAATTGGATTTAGGATCACTGTGGAGGTGTAGGTTTGGGTAAAGTAGAAAGTTTTGAAAATTCGTACTACTGTGTACTAAACTTGGAACAATTTGAATTGTGGTTGAACCGATAGAATTGTAATCCTGAAACTTGGATTTAAGATCACTGTGGGGAGTAGGTTTTGGTTAAATATGATGTTTTGGAAATGCGTACAACAAATGATAATGCGTTTTTAACCATTTACGTTCGATTTTCGTGGTAGTTGTGTAGGATATCATATTATCGGCCCCGTCCGACTATACTGATACGCTCACATGTATAATATTATTATAAAGGTAAAGGTCATGATAACCCACCTAGTAATAATCTGTCATTATTTTGTAATGAAGGAAATAATGATAGGTGATTACCAAAATTTTTGCTGGATAGGCTTTTCAAATGGAAAAAATATTTTTAAGAAATCACCAAAAACCTAGTTAAAAAATAAGGAAGATTTTCACCGATTGGCATTATTTTAGTTCATACGATAGCTATACACTCACAGAGAAACGTGTAAAAATTTGGAATCGATTGGCTTATTAGTTTTTTAGTTATCGTGTCCGCCATTCACAAAAGAGAAAAACGCGTTTAAAGTTTGAGAAGTCCTTTAGCCGATGCTTGATGCTGACACAATAAATAGCCTATATCTTCAAGAGTTCTTGAGATTTTCTCTTGAAATTTTGTAGGGACATTCTTGAATTAGTGTAGATTCGAATTAAATCGAACAAAAACTTTGACCCCGAGAATGGGGGGGTCCCCTTAAATAAACATTCCCGCTTATGGTGTATGGTATAAAAACTGTACTGTACCATAATGAAATAATAAGGTGATGCATCAAAACAAAAACAATTTGTTTTTAACCGACCCTCTGTCAAATTTTATCTAGTAATATTTCTCACGAAATCGAAGTAGAAACTACGAACTTTGACAGTTAATCAAATAGTCAGCTGCGCTAAATGGACTACCTATTTATTGTGGCATGGACTGTACCCTGTTTTCCTTTTACCCAAAAACACATTAAGAGACATAATCCACTACAATGCCACATCCAAAGGCATACAAGTATTGTCATATCTTTACGGGTTCTATGCCTTTGCCACATTACAGTGCAGGGCAAACAAGTTCTATAACATAAACAAATTCAATCCAAAATCTATTATAAATATGTAAATTATTGCAATTGATTTAAAAAAAAGAAAAGAAACTTATTAAGATTTATATCAAAAATGAAAATCAACAGAGGGCACGAAATGAAATGCTTACGGTCCAGCTAAACTTAGTGTTGATACTAAATTATATTTGACATTTTTACAATATCCCCTCCTCCCATTTTTCCATTCTGAACTGAAATTATACCTTTTATTCGATTATCAAATTTCTTGAAAGGCACATAATACAAAGTTGTATTCTTGTATGGTGAGTTATAAAACATAAATCTAGAAAAATATTATGTTTCAAAGGACCAAAAAAGGCCCAAAATATACATAAAAAACAAAGCAATAAATATGGACAATATTT